GAAGAAGGGCCTCTTTTTTTTCCCTTTTAAAAACAAAGGAAAAATTTTTTCCCCCGGGGGGGGGGGTGGGGGGCCCCGGGGGGGAGAACCCTTTTGGGGGCCCAAAATGGTTTTAAAAGGGGGGCAAGCTTTCGGGGGGAAAACACCTTTTTTTGGGGGGGGGTTTTTTTGGGGGTTGGTAATTTTTTGGTTTTTTGCGGGGGGTTTTTAGGGGGGGGGGGGGGGGGGGGGTAACCTCACCGTCGTAGGGGTTGGGGAGAGGGGAACCCTAGCCGATGGGGAAAAGTGGCCCATAAACGCATCCAAGCTGTTGGCCGGGCGACTTACCTCATCTGGGGTGAGGTTTGTATTGTTGTGGGAGTTCGTGCAGATTTAAACCCGTGTAGCGGTGATTCATAGGGGAGGTGGGGGGGGGGGAGGGTGAGCTGGCCATCGTAGCGAGGAGGGTTGAACTGGCCAAACGTTATTTTTACAAAGGGGGGCCGGTGTACGTATGCCCTCTGGTTGGATGTCAAAGGTATTGTACGATTTGGTCTCGGTACTCTGAGGCGACATATATTGTTGCTTTTGTGGTGTATAAGGAGAACGTCAGCTGTCTTCTCGGCAAGTACCAAAACCTACCAAATTCTACGAACGCCAGCTGTCTTCTCGGCAAGCACCAAAGTCTACCAAAGCTACGAATGCCAGCTGTCTTCTCGGCAAGTACCAAAATCTACCGAATTCTACGAACGCCAGCTGTCTTCTCGGCAAGCACCAAAGTCTACCAAAGCTACGAACGCCAGCTGTCTTCTCGGCAAACACTAATACAAATCTGCGTACCTAGCGTGCCATCCGGTATATTTGCTGATCAAGATCGACTTGCCCTTGCGTTCAATCTCTGTCGTTTCTCCTGATTTATTTTTTCTTGTCTTCGCGTTAGAACAGCGCTCATAGTGTGCCGTTTACTCCAACCCGTCAGCTCAGCCCCCACCCCCGAAACACCCTCAAACAGGTTCAAATCTGTACCAAATCCTACAAGAACAACAACAAACTCACTCCAAAGGAAATGACCCGCCAATAGCTTGCACCCGTTTAGGAGTCATTTTTCTAAGTCGGTCAGGTCACCCCCCCCCCCGTTCCCATATGATACACCCTCAAACAGGTTCAAATCTGCATAACCTCCTTCAACAACAACAACAAACTCACCCCAAAGGAAATGCCCCGCCAAGAGCTTGGATCCCGCCACGAGCCACTTCTCTCTAATCGGGTTCATTAGATCGTTCTGGGAATTGAGGCAGATTCGACCGGCCTAAACAGAGCAAGGAAATTTAAGGGTGTGGTGGCAGGGGGGGGGGGGGGGGGGGGGGGGGGGGGGCCCCTTTTTTTTTTGGGAAAAAAAAAAAATTTACCAAGGCCCCCCTTTGAAGGGGGGGGAAGGGGGTTTTTTATTCCCCGGGGGGACCCCCCAAAAGGGGATTTTTTCCCCCAAAAAAAAAAAAAAGGGGGGGGGGGGGGGGGGGGGGACCCTTTTTTCCCTAAAAAAAAAAAATTTTACCCCCCCTTTTTTTTGGGGGGGGGGAAAAACCCCGGGAGAGGGCACCCTTTTTTCCCCTCTCTTCCAAAAGGGGGGCAAAAGGGGTTTCCCCCCCCCCTTGCCCCCCCCTTTTGTTGGAGAAAA